TTTCTTTATCGGTACCAGGGATTGAACTCACGACCGCACACTTGCAAGGCAGGCGCTTATGCCGCTGAGCTAAATCCCCAGCCCCCCTTCACTATTTTAAATCAATTTTCTTGGTATAAGAACATAAGCACAAATCTCTCTGATGCATACTTATCTACCAAAAGCCCCTTTCTTTACCAAAACATTTGAGGATGCTGACAGCAAAAGTCTAACACATGGTAAGAGAAGTAAGAGAAACCAAGAGCTGGACTTTTGGAAAGAGGCAGGAAACACATGGGCCATGAGCGCCAGAGTCCCGACTGCGATCAAGCCTCAGGAACTGGCTGATTCCGGTCCAGGGAAAGTCCTATCACCGGGCCGGCAGACAGCTTTCCAGTGCTGTATTATTTATGTTAAAGTGGAATACATTTTTATTTATAAATTGAAAGTTGCTAATTTAGATCACTAAAAATTGGTTTGTTCAATGTTCTGAAAGATAGCAGTAAACCTTGTAGTGCTAAAATAATGGCAACTTTTGTGTTACTTCGGATTTTTTTCTTTTATTAGTGCCTATTAATTTACAGAATACTAGATTTCAGTGAGTATATTTGAGCACATCCACTCCCTTACAATTCTTTATACCTGTCTCTCCCTCACTCCTTCCTGTTGTCTAATAAGTCTCCCTTCTTGTCATCCTTTTTAGAGTCTACATACTAGGAAAAGCACGTGATTTTCATCTTTCTGAGTTCGGCTTATTTTGTTCAACATGATGATCTCCAGATCTATTCATTTTCCTACAAATGACAAAATTTCATTCCCTTAATAGCTGAATGATACATATACCGGTATCACATTTTGTTAATGTACTTCTCTGTTTTGAGTACCTATGCTTGTTCTATAGCTTGGCTATTGCAAATTGTGCCACAATAAACACAGGTATATAGGTGTTCCTACAGTAACTTACTTTAATACCTCCACATATATAGTAAGGGTGGTACATCTGCATCAAATTTTACTGGTGTACCAGGAATGGTGGTGTATACCTAGAGTCCTAGCACTCAGGGAGGCTGAGGCAGGAGGATCTCAGGTTTGAACCTAGCCTAGGTAACTCACTTATTGAGACTTTGTCTTAAAAAAAACTAAAAAAACCACCAAAACCCAACCAAACAAAAACTCCGTAATACTACTAATAAAAAGTGCTGGGCACATAGCTTAGGCTCTGAGTTGAATCCCCAGTAATACACACACACACACACACACACACACACACACACAAATTGCGTTCATCAGGTTGCTCATAAAATGACAGACTTTATATAAGAATAGAAAAAGTACCACTTTTAGATATGATGAAGTGGATACGGCACAATACACACCTAGGTTTTATTTCTATAGTATCCTTGTAACTAATGGCTGGCTCCTGAAATCAGAGCCTTTTCTTTTCTTTTCCTCCCATGGAGTCAGCACAACACATAATCACATTTCACTGACGACAGGGAATAAAAACACCAAAATGCCTCAAATGTAGACAACACTGTGTAAAAATATACTTTCTTAGCTTTCTTCCCTTGGACTTGGGAACTTTCAGTGTCATCTGTCCCTCTTCAGAGCTAAAGCTCTCCCTGCTGTGATGAGATTTTTACACATCACATCAAACTACAGTCCTTGCATAGTGACACAGCTGTGTCCTGAGGGCTGACTGCTAGGTGACTCTGTAACTGTGTGAACACCACCAAGTGTCCTCACACCAAAACCTGAGTGATAAAGCCTACTACACACAAGACCATACGGCTACAGCCTCCTCCTGCGCCTAGGCTACTCTTATGATTTGTGTTTAAATGTTCCCCAAAGCCTCTTGCAGTTACAGAGGCAGCTGAGTCTAGCATTTGTGACTGGTTTTGTTGTCCAGCACTGGGATTGGCGGGGTGAGTGCTGCACCCACCAGGGGCAGTGAGCTGGCACAGGATGGAAGGCACGGAAGGATGCACGCTCTTTTCTTTCTGCCCTTTTCATCTGGCTGCTTCTGTTACCTGCTGCAGCCGCCATGTGTCTGCTCCTCAGCCATGTCATCCTGCCTTGGGGCCAGCTGACTGAAACCTCCAAAACCTCCTTTTATTTTGGGCACCAAGTATTTTGTCTCAGCAATGAGAGAAAAATAACTAAGACAGCTACAAACCTGCCAGTTGATCATGCCACTGTCCTGAATACTGCAGGCACGTGTAACACAAAGGTGAGTATGTGTTTAAACACATCTATACACAGCAAAGGACAGAAAAAATACGACACCTTTGGAAATTCTGAGCTCTTTTACAAAGTTATGGGGCAACAATCATGCATGTGGTCTATCCGGATTGAAACCTCTTCACGCAGCACGTGACTATAACTATAAAAATGTCATTATTTTCTGCTGTTGAAGGACATGCAGCTTCTTGCTGCATGGGGAGACATGGAGCAAAGGCCTGCAACATTACAGTTGGAAGTTTCCATCCAGTGGAACCCCTCTGCTATCCTGCCTGCTTCTCTCAGTTCCCAACCTCACCAGTTCTGTCCCTCATTTGGAACTCTGGGAAACAGGGAGGGGCGACCAGGAATTGTAGGAGACCAAGGGTCAGCAACTTTGGCCACAAGTGGAGAAGAAACGGAAAATGTCTGTGGGCAAGGCAGGAGTCATGTGTTACACCCACAGGGCCTCACAGAGAGCGAGACGTGTTCAAGGGACAGCAGCTCCTCTCCAAACTTGGGAGCTTTAGGGTGCCAGTCGGAATCTAAGAATGAAACCCCAAAATTCTTATCTAAAATGGTATTTGAACCCTCTCTGTAACAGAGTGGTTGTAAAACTAAACTAAAGTGCCTGTAGGTTTTTGAAGTTTTTTGGATACAATATCAGGTGCTATTTAAATACAAGCCAGCTCAGTGGCCCATTTCAGGGGAAAGAATGGCTGCTGTGCAAGAGGTCCTAGGTTTCTCTCCTGCCAGCGGCTTGCGGGCCCTTGTTTCTACCTTCTCTGTGAATCGTATCTTGCTTCCTCAGCAGGCTGCATGGCCCCATCCCCACCTTGGCAGTCAGAGCCCGTCTAAAAGAGTGACCCCACGTGGCAAGAGGAAGTTTGCTCTTCCCTCCTCTGAGACACCAGGGAAATCCCTCTTGGCTGGGAGCTGCTGACCAGTGCGCTCAGAGAGCTCACTGTATATACTGCTAAGCTGTTTGAGCAGTAATGCTCGTGGTGCCTAGTCCCAGCAGCATGCCCCCTACCCACAGAGAGCCAAACGGCTGATCTGTTCAGCATGCACTCTCAGTAGGGTCTTCCATTTTCTAAAAGGTCAAGCCTGCACGTCTTAGAAAATGGAAGACCCATTTGTTTAAGTTTTATCTTTTCTTGGGACTAAGAAAATATATCCCAAAATTGAAACTTGTGTGTGTGTGTGTGTGTGTGTGTGCATGGTGCTGGGTTGTGAACACAAGGGCCCATGTGTGCTAGGCAGGTACCCCACCCCACTCCAGCTTTTCTTCTTGTTATAAACTGCAGGTTGAAGTTTCCCAGAACCACATCTCATTCGTGGGGCAAGGGCCTTCTGCACATAGTAATGCTGAGGTTAAGCCCTGCAGTAGCTTATCATCTTGTAGGTGAGATCTAGCAAGATTGCTTATCGACTTTACTAACCACTAAATATAAAACTAATTAGGAGCTAAACTGAATGGTTCCAACAAATGTTGCTGGTATTCATTCAAAACCTGCATTTTATTTCCCAGAGAGGCTGAGCTGGCAGGAATTATCTGAAGTTTAGACAATCACTGAGCATTACTGAACAGAACAATGCTTTGTCTTCTCTTTTTCTCTACAGGAATGAGACAAGCTTCTTCTAAATGGCCTGGATGCATGTCCCCTTGTCACGGAGACAAAACACAAGGGAACAATTCCTCTAATGAGCTGAGGGCTGGGCTGTACCACGTGTCACACCAGGCCCGATAACGGGTGTGTCCTCTAAGGACAGACAGAAGGGCTGCACACCTGCCTCTGACAGTAAGCTCAGAACTACAATAATTATTTGGGCAAGGGCCCTCCAAAACTTAGTTTTTATCCACTCATCCCCAAATGTACCTCTACCCACTGAGGAGAATATGTGGAAGACAGTGTTTCCAGGTGGCTTTACAGGAGAGCTCATGCTGCTTATAAAATCCTTCATTCATGGGAGTGCTACTGGCATTTGCTAATGGTTGCCGCTGCCATTATCACTTTAGAACTTTAACACGTGAAACACAACCCAGCTTAGCTCTGGACTTGTAAAATCGATCTAATATTTTCTTCTACAGAAAGATCAAGTTTCTGCCCCAGGGTCAGAGGCAGCAGGCGGAGAGGCCACTCTGAGTTGGTCTGAGGTCACCAGTCATAACATTTAGGGTCCCACAGCTCCAGACCAGCAACTGGAATCCTAGACTGGAATCCACTTTTCAACTAAGTCCTCGCTGCCGCATTGTGCAAAGCAAAGTCTGAGAACCACTCCAAGGAAACCCAAGGCTCTCTCTGCTTTCCTCTCGGCCCCCAAGCCCACCCCTATGGAAGAAGAACCTGATAAGAATCGCGCTGAGTCTTCATGAGTTCTGGGTGAAGTACAAAATGTACCACGTAAGGATGTTATCTCTCCCTCATCCTCAGGAAGCTGCCAGGAACCTTAAAGCCACATTCAGTTAGAGAAACTTTCTAGGCCTTTAGCACGCATATTTCAGTTCTTTTTTCTCTCAAATTTTTATTCTTACGTTCTCCTCGGTTCCAATTGTTACCTTTTACTTGTTTTCTGCCATTATTTTATTTTTTTGTTAGAAATCTAAGTCTTCTGTGGACTAGAAGAGGGCATAACACACAAACACGTTTTCGTACAGACACAAAGCAAGGTGGCTGTTACCATGTTCCTGCCTGTTCCTCCCCAGGCTGAGCCTGTCACGTACTGGACCGGCCCTCGCCTGTCCTTTCAGCGGGGAATCTTTTCCTCAAAAGAGTTGGTAAAAGCAGCAGCACCCTTACTTGTGTCCTTGGAGTTCGATAGCCGTTCCTTTCCTCCCACCGATGTCCCACATGATGACAGAGTGGTCGGAACTGCCTGAGAACAACACCCGCTGGACTGGGTCCCAACAGAGAGCGGTCACCCCACCTGGGAGGACAGACACAGCCGACATTAGTCACCAAGCAGCAACGTCACTCAGCAACCGAGCAGGAACGTGAAGGATTGAGCACCCGGTGTACTTTCTAGCATACAGCAACTCTGTGTTTGAAAAATAAATAAACCCTAAAAGAAATCCCACTCTGTGCGCCTCCCCTAAATTTAATGTACCATAAAATCAATTACTATAAAGACCAACCACAGGGAAATGAAAATACAACAACAACAATTCACCGGCCTTCAAACAATAGACACAGTTCTGAGAAGAATGGAAACTACTGCACTATTTGGAAACATTAACCATATTTTCTTAAATGCTGTGTGCTTCCACCCTAACAATAACAGATGACAAGTAAATGGAGTTTCAAAGTGTTCAATTTGATTGTCTATTTCTTTTTGCATATATGATCATAATGCATACAGAGTATACAAAAAAAAAGTATACATACCTCAGGAAAAGAAAAATACTATGATGTTTTCTCAACAGATCGAGTTATTCTTGTATGGGGGCCCAAGAGGGGTGTATCACAGAAAAACCACTACACTGCCCTTAGAGATAAAACTGGAAACGTGTGCAGCAATCTCAGTGACTAAGGTCACCAAGCAGCAGCTCACCGTGCTAATAAATGTTTGGAAGCTGATGGCTCCCACTTTACACACCTCTGTAACTGCAGAGGCCAAAGGTAAATTGTATGAATCTCATAATGTCTCAATAAATTTATTGTATTAAAATATTTATAGAAGTTTTTCATTTCTTGAAGTGTGTACACTTTTGTTGGTGAACCCTGTATTTATGGGGTACAATGTGATGATGCATTACAAGTATGCACTGTGTAAGGATCAAATCAGAATAATTAGCATATATACATCTCCAAATACTTATCACTTCTTGTAGGAACATTCAAAATCCTTTCTTCTAGTTATTTGGAGACATACAATAACATACTCACAGACACCCTACAGAGGCTGAGCATGGTGGTGCATGCCTATAATCCCAGCATTTGGGAGGCTGAAGCAGGAGGACTACTGAGAGTTTGAGGTCAGCCTGGGCTACAATAGTGAGTTCAAGGCCAGCCTGGACTACATAGGACTCTCTTAAAAAACCAAATACAAACAAACAAAATACAGTCATCCTATTTTCCTTCCTGGTTTTTACTTTACCCATTTATCAACATCTCCCGCCCCAAACCCCAATCCTCCCAGCATTAGGTAATCACTCTTCTTTCCACAACTTCTGAGGATCAACATTTTTAGATCTCACATGAGTGAGATGTGGTTTTTTTTCCTGTGTCTGATTTATTTCAATGAATATAATGTTCTCCAAGTCATCCATACTACCCACACATTTCATCCCTTTTAATAGTAAAACTGTATGCCATCGTGTATGTATCAAGTTTCCGTATCCATTCCTCAGCTGTTTCCATGTCTTAGTTACTGTAAATGGTGCTATGACAAACATGGGAGTGTAGTTATCACTTCAACATACTGGCTTCATTTCTTTAAAGTATACCCAGGAGTGGGACTGCTGGATCATGGGATGACTGTATTACTAAATTAATAAGCTGTATTATTAAATCTTTTCCTTTTGAGGAACCTCCACATTACTTTCCACTGTGGCTACACCAACATTCTCACCAGTAGAGTGAAAGGGTTGCTGTTCCACATCCTCATCTGTATTTGTTACTTCAACACACACACACACACACACACACACACACACACACACACACACACACGAGCCATTTTATAACTAGAGAGAGGTAAAATCTTACAACGGTTTTCATTTATACTTCCCAGATTAGTGACATTGAGCATTTTTTTCTTCCTATACTTGCTGGCCACATCTATGCCTCCTTTTGAGAAATGTCTATTTTAGATTTTTGTTCTGAACATCAGATAAAATTGGGGCACAATATCAGAATTTAAAATTCTGTTTCTCTGTGGGAATTTACAAATCCCTTCCTTCTGTGGTGCTGCCAACTCCTTGTGCACTGCGAGCAGTGATAAGGGAGCCCAGAACCTGCCAATGTGATGCACTTCAGAAATACTTTGTTACATTACTGAAAAATATAAAATGCTATTTTAAAAATTTAGGTTATCAATTTGTTTGAATGAAGTGCTTAAAATCTTTCAGAGAACTTTCCCATAATGGTCTCTGAAGCATCTGTAAGACCAAAAGGAAAAGGCAACTCACTCTCGTGGATCGTGCTTCCTAGCTTCTGCCGGTGCTCGCAGAGCACTCGCATGCACACAGCCCCGCTCACCTAAGAGGAACGCGACCTCCCGGTGCTGCTGGTGCTGGTGAGGCCGACCCTTCCCGGGCTCCCAGCCCTCAGCCCTCGCGGCCTCTGCCACCCTCCACCCACAGCAGTAGCCAGCGTAGCACCCGTGCCAGGCTCTGGTACTGCTTGCTGAACGATGAATGAAGGAGCAGATGAATAAAAACCACAAACTTTGTTGTGTTCCATTCCACAGAGCCCCTGCCTTAATGCCCCCTACCTAGGGACCCCTCCTTCACTACTCTGGTTTTTCTCCTCCTTACTGTCTTTACTCCTTTTTTTCAAACTGCTCTAACCGAAGCTTGTGGAGGTCACCACAGCACCCCCACACTGAGAGTTCTACCTGGCTTACAGCAGGCACTCAAGGAGCACGTGCAAAAGAGCAAACAAGTGAACGCATGAGAATACGAACCCATGTCCCTGTCCTTGTTCCTAGCGGACGGACAAAGCAGGCATGCACACTTTCCTGGCTGACTCGGGGGTTGTTGATGTGATGCCTTCTACTCCACTTTTGGTCAGGGAATGCTCATCTCAAGGACAATTTCTGAGCTGGCCTTATTTACTAGAAAACACTGATTAGGAGGACAAATAAAAGCACTTTGTCTCCACAAAACACTTAAAATGGATGGCTCAGATTTTCTGTCATATCAGATTTAAATAATGGTGGGCACTGGCAGAAAGAATGGCTAGAGAGATTTAACTGAATCAAAGACTTAACCTGTCCGAACCAGTATGGAAATACAGTGTCTCGTAACGTAGCATTTGTAGATATGCGGTGTATGGAGTGGGGCTGGGGGATGTAAAGGTTATCTGCGTCTGGCATGCTGTAAGCCTTATTTAAATATTTCCTAACTGCCCTAACAACAAGGCCCACTGAGAGCTGGATTATAAATTGGAAACTACAGCATCCTTTTTCAGTCAGTTTAACAAGTATTCACGAAGCACCTCCTGTGTGGCAGGCACCGTGCTAGGCTCTGTGGATATAATCAAGGAAGACTGAGGATTCTCAAGTAACCACAAACATGCAGAGCCTGTATGTTGAGACTTTGTTTTGGAGACAGGATCTTGCTATGTAGTTCAGGCTAGCCTGAACTCACTATGTAGCTAAGGCTGGCCTCAAATTCATAGTGATCCTCCTGCCTCAGCCTACATTACCACATAGCATTAACCTGGGCCGCATGCACCAACCCACACAAAGGGTGGGGTCAGGGCTACCATGACTGTGGTTTTCCAGGGCTCAGGGTATTTTCAATGATAAATATAAATTGTTCCATATCATTTTCTTTCATTTATTATTTCTGGGTACCTGGAATCGAATGCCAGACCTCACATTTACCAGGCAGGCGCTATATCACTGAGCTAAATCCCCAACCCCATTTTACTTCACTTAATTATTCATTTTTCCATTCTCCTTCAATGTTTCATTCTGTGCTTTTCTTCCCTGCCTTTAACCACCACAATATATGGGGTAGTTTTTTAAAAAAAATGATTTTTCAAAATAAAGGTTATTAATTACTTTTTAATGGTTACAAAACCTTTATTCAGAATGAATTCTGGAAATAGTGGTGATGGCTGTACCACACTTCTAATATACTTAAAAATTTACATTATCTATTTTATCAGAATCAAATGTATTTTTTTTTTTTTTTTTTGTCTTTTGCATTTTTACCGGTGCCGGGGATTGAACTCACGACTGCCTGCTTGCAAGGCAGGTGCTTATGCCACTGAGCTAAATCCCCAGCCCCTCAAATGTATTTTTTAAAGAAAAATCAGAGATGTGGTTTTGCTACGCTGCCTACACTGGCACGAAACTGGAATCAAGTGGGCCTCCCACCTCAGCTCTGGAGGAGCTGGGAATACAGGAGCACACCATGGTGCCTACCTCTACAATTTGATTAGTTAGAAGACAGTTTCAAGTGTAGAACTGGATTAAAGTGTATAAACAGGGCTGAACACCGTGGGTCTGCCCTCACTACAGTGCGCTGAGTCAGCTGCAAAGAGCTCGGCCTCGTAGCCTCCAGGAGAAGGCGGACAGGCGCATACAGCTGGAGGACAGCCTAACTCGGTGCTCAGGCGGGGGTCCTGATAAAAGACCTCAGTTCCTAACACCTCAGGCCCTACATTTGCTCCAGGTTGAAGTGACATCGGGGTTACGTAAAGCTGAATGCTCTCCTCCTCTAGGCTACCCCTCTTTCTCCTTATGCTGCTCCTCCTCGGAAGGCCTCCTTTGGTAACCTATGTCTGAGTGGCCTGGATGTAGCATTACGCCTTCACAGCACTTGCTATTTGAGAAATGTCTGCAGTCATTGGCCCAGTGAGTGTTCCATGCTGGACTGGAAGCTGAGGAAGGACCAGGATGGTTTGTTTACTTGGCTGAATTACAGCTGGCTACATCTGCTGACTTGCTCTGCATATTAGCTGGATCTGTGTGTAAGTCTCCCCATAAACAAGTATAAAGGTTCTTAATTTAATTATGTGAACTTGCATATGTGCCCTGAACTTTACTGGTTTGTGTAGTTATTTTTGTTCAGTTAACACTGTTCCTTCCGATAATTATCCTAATAGCTAATGAACAAGGCTATATTTAATTTTACATTAATTATGCTTTGGCAGATTTACAGTCAAGTCCTCCTGTTTCTAGTATGTTCATGTTAATAAAAATTTATTGAAATTAAAAAAGATTTTATTGATGCTGTTAATTTCCAGGGGTCAAATAAGACTTTTCCCACTTCTTTCAAATCAGCTTATGGCTTTTGGTACAGATACATTCTAATTTCTGGAAAATAGCAAAGAGCCGTGAGGCATGGCATCTAGCTCCAGAAAGAAAACCAGCAGAGGGAGCACAGGAACATAAAACTAATCTCCTAAATCCCTGTAGATCAGGAAATGTTCTGTCCTCCAGGAATGACTCGTAATGCTGATTCTGTCATTAACCCACATTTTTGTACAGTTCTTTTATGACAGGAGAGTGACAGAGTAAAGAGTCATGGCTTTCCACACATACCAAGGCTTGTTCGTGTCTGCATTTGGATCTGGATCGATGAGACCACTCTTTAACTGACATGGGTCTTTATTTAATCTCCATAAAACCTCCTTTCCTAGCATTGTGCCTGGCTGGGTTGGGCCCCAGGGCCCGGAATGAGACACAGGAAAAGCTCAACGATGTTTGAATTATCACAGAATCTTTTAATGTCCCTGCTGAATCTATAAATGAACAAGTTGAGCTGCCACCAAATTCTAGATGGGTAGATAACATCTAGGAATAGTAGCAAGTTAAATACAAGAATCTCACTGTTTCATCTGCCTTTGTGTTAGTGACCTTCCTGAACTTTGTTCTATCTGCCTCAGGGATACTTCACGATAAAAATGAAATGAAAATGCTTTAAACTTTTTGAGCAAGGTAAGATCCACTGCAAGGTAATATTAGAACAAGCCTTCAAAACATGAGCCCTCCGAACCACATCTGCTAACAAAACGGTGGTTAGAGGTAGCTGCTCAGCTCTTCTGGCCTGGGGGCAGCAACACAGAACTCAGAAGACTCCTGAAGAGTGAAGGCACAGGCAGATCCCTTCTGCCTACATCAGATCTGGAAGGGACGGAGACAGCAATGGATGGACAGAGACAAAGGGCAGTGGCCATCTGCTGTGCTAGCTCTCCACATGTATACGGTATATATCAGCACTGGGGACGGACCTGGAACTCTGCACATTAGGCACCACTATGTCATGCAGCAGCATCCTCAGCTCTAATCATGATCTTTTTTTCTTTGCAACCTCCCACATGTTCATCCTTGCCTTCCCTTTGCTAGCATCCTGTTGCAAGAGACAGTGTCCTACTAGTTTTCCAAGTATACTCATTACTATAGAGCAGTCTTCTAAAATCTGATCAGGCTAACTTGTTTGCTTCCAACTCTTTAACAGATTCTCAAAGACATCAAAATAATGGCTGAGTTAAGCTTCAAGGATCTGAAGAGACTCTTGCTTCTTTTGGGGTTGCCCCTCCACCACTGCCTCCCTCTTCCTTTCTCTTCCCTAGGATTCTAGCTGAGAGAGAGACAGAGACAGAGACAGAGACAGAGACAGAAGGAGAGGGGAGAGAGACAGAGGGCCAAAGAGCAAGTGAGCGAGAGAGAGACAGAGATGGAGAGAGACAGAGATAGAGTGAGAGAGGGGGAGACAGAGAGAGAAAGAAAACAGAGAGGGAGAGAGACAAAGAGGAGAGAGACACAGAGAGAGAAAGAGAGAGAGAGACGAAGACAAAGGCAGAGACAAAGACAGACAGAGACTGCTGAGATAGAGAGCAACGCCCGGGGCTGCTGTGGTCTTGCACGTTTCCATGTGACTTGAATCATGCTGGCTCCCTTCACCTGGTGGTTCTTCCTGCTTCTCTGCAGGTCCAGCAGCATCTCCTGTGGGAGTGCCTTCCTGACTGCTTCCTGTCTCCTTCCCAGCACAGCCGTCATTCTGGCTTCCTAGAAGAGCTCGGTGCTTGCTTCCTCTGCCTTTGCCACATGTCATTATTACAGTTTAGCATATCTCGCTGGGTTGTAAGGAATTTGCAAATGGTGATTGTGCCCACAATAGAGAGCAGAGTGCAAAGAGAAGAGGATGCAGAGGGCGCTTGGCTATTTTGAGAACCAGCAGATGAGGCACAGAAGGAAGACTGGGAGAGGCTTTCACAAAAACGCAGAGGGCAGTGACAGAGCGGTCACAGTGTCGAATGCTAGTGAAAGGCTGAGAGTGACAAAGTTTAAAAAGTGTCCCAATAGGCCACTGATCACCTTGGGAGAGCAGTTCAAGGGCAGCAGTGAAGACAACCAAGACTGCAGGTGCTGGGAGGTGAAGGCTCTGAAGCAGGTGGGCTCTTCTAGGAAGCCTTTCTGTTTGCATAGTCTGAACGAACCTTCGAGAAACGGCTCCAGAGTGAAATAAGCCAGTTACAAGTAGGTAAGTACTGTCTGATTCCACTTACAGGAGGGACCCAGAGCGGTCAGATGCAGAGACAGAAAGCAGAAGGGTGGCTGCCAGGGCGGGGAAGGAGGGTGTGGCACTGTCCAAGGGCAGTGAGCTCAAGTTTTCGCAAGATGACACATGGTGGCTATGGCTCCACAACACGCCCTAAGTCACAACATGTGAAAATACTAATGCCACAGAACGGGGCATAAAATGGCAAATATCATGTTTTGTACATTTTGTTTATTTATTTTTTTTAAGTAGCACTGCTAAGAGAGTAGGATAGGAACTGCTGCTGTAAGACACAGGACGGAGACGATTTTGGTTTGTTTGCTCAACAGGGAGGGATGTGAATAAATTGAGAAAAATAAGCTAGTCAAGAAGGAGACAAATGGAATCTATTTTGAGAAAGCTGAGGTCAAGAGAACGGCAGGTTCCTGCACTGAGATGTCGAAGGGACAGAGGAAAAGATTTTTGGGTAGGAGAATAGAGAATGGGCAAGAATATTTTTAATGATACTGGGGATGGAACCCAGGGGCATTCTATCACTGAGCTGTATTCCCTGCCCACCCAACTGTGAGATAAAGTCTCACTAGTGTAGCCCAGACTGGCCTCAAACTCATGGCAATCCTCTTGCCTCAGCCTCCTAAGTGCTGGGATTATGGCCTGTGCCACTATGCCTGGCTTTCTTTGCCTTTTTGTTTTTTATTTTGAGACAGGGTCTTGCTAAATTACCAAGGTTGCCTCAGCTTCCTGAGTAGCTACATTTACAGATGTATCCCATCAGGCCTGGCAAGAAATAAAATAGTTTTTCATAAAGCTGATTCTTCTGGAGGCAGCACCAGGGGATAGGCAAAAGTCATATCCAGAGCACAGGCGGAGGGATTATTAGGCAACTCTGAGTCTGGCTGGGAGATCACGACACTGAAATACTCATTTACATGATTTACAGACACGGCAGTGGAGTACACGTGGAGAAAAGGTGGACAGACAGGCTGAACGACAAGCTCTAAGCTCTACCGAGACTCTGATCACAGATACGCTGATGTGATGCACACTGTGAAGGAAGGGAATACTAGGGCTGAAACGAACTGGAAATGGAAGGACAGAAGACTGGAACTCAGCAAGGGGAAGAGTGAGTGGAGCGAAGAATTTAAGGAAGACGAGGAGACGAAAGCCAGTAGTGAAACATGGAACCTAAAGATTGCTTAGGAGAGACAATGGTGAGCCCTCTTCAGGCTCAGGCTTGGCCAGGGGACAGCTGTCTAAAAGCAAACATATGATGCGGAAAGATTGGGTTTCTACTCACAGAGGAGATTTCTATGAACCCTTCTTCCCAAAGGCATAGAGATTAAGGTGATCTTCTAATTTTTCCTTTACTGAATGTTTCTTACCCCAGAATTCTATTTTTTTCCTGCAGGAAATCTCTTAGGGTTAGACTGGTGCTACCCAATGAAACAGCCTGCTTTCCCTACTTCCGTTTTTACACGGCCTTCAACCTGAGTATTACCCCTGTTCTATACCGTATGATGGATCAACAGTCTGCGGAAACAGTAAAGCCTATTAAGGACCATGAAAACAGGCAACGGTTAATATCCTGATTTACATTTTCCTTGCTAAAAGTACTGGTTAATCATCAGGATGTACCCAGGCCTTTCAAAAGCTAGGAATGACTATTTTATATCTCTTTACTTAAATGATCGTAAACAGATCAGTAATATAAAGCAGATCTTCGATTAAAAATTGGAAAGAGCTCAAATGGAAGGAAAGATGAACTTGTCCTTTTCATCTGATGTAGCTGTCCATGATGAGTATACTTTTCATTTGTTTCAGATGTGGGAATCATTCTTTTTTTTTTGTCTTTTTCCTTTTTATCGGTACCGGGGATCAACTCATGACTACCTGCTTACAAGGCAGGCGCTTATGCCGCTGAGCTAAATCCCCAGTCCCTGTGGGAATCATTCTTGCACAACATCTTTTCACTCCAACAATGACGACAGACCCAGGCGGCTGTCCTTTTGGATTTCTGGAGTCTCAAACAATGCCCCACTAACAGATGCCCACATTGGCAATCTACAAAGAACTAAATCATCAACATTTTCAAAATAGTTTGGTTCCTCTTTTGTCTGGGTTGTGGAGTTATTTGTTTCTTCAGTGATAGGGACTGGGCCCAGAGGAACTCTACCACTCAGTTACATTCCTGCCCTTTTTAAAATTTTGAGACAGGATCTTACTAAATTGCCCAAGTGAGACTACAACTTGCACTCCTCCCACCTTGGCCCTCCTCAGGCCTGGGATTACAGACATGTACCACCATGCCCAGCTTAGAGAAAAACTGTTGACATCATTTCTTACTGAGCCATTCTGCAATCAGTTAAGTATATCCTATGTACCTCTGCCTAAGTGCAAGCTGTACTTTACCACTTAAGAACACATGCTCTGAACATCAGAATACACAGTGGACAAACGTGCACCAGGATGTCAGCATATGACGACTCTGGTCTGAATCCTACCTGTGTGTCCTCTGAACGTTGTGACCAGTGTGCAGCTTTCTTGCTCCAGTTTAAGGATTGTTACTTGGCCTGAGTGGTCACCAATAAACACATGTCGGGTTTCAATATCAAATCTGTTATGTAAGCATTAAGGATTGTTTCTTAAAATTAAAGGGGAGGATTTACAATGGAAAACAGTATAAACATAACAAGTGTGCAAATCCTACAGTAGGACAATTTGTAGGAAGTGCTAAAAGATGCAAAAGGAGGGTTATGAAAATGAAGGCCGTACTGTATTACCAGACAGTAAGCCTCAATATGACGAAGATGTTACTTCTTACTACATTAATTTATAAACTTAACATAATCCCAATAAAGTATAAACAGTGTTTCTAAACCTGGTGTGTACATTCTAAAGGTCAAATGGAAAAATGAATACGAAGAGTCAAGAATACTTTGAAAATAAGAATAACATGGTATATGGCAAGGGGATTTGCCATGTGAAATGAAAAAACACGTTAAAAAGTTTTTTACTTAAAAATATGGTATTGGTGCAAGTATACAGACTAATTGAAAAGAATGTAAAGCCCCAAAATAGACTGTAAAGCACACAGAAATCTGTTACATGTCTGGCAAAGGTAGCTCTTCAAATGAGTAAGAAAGATGGTTAAAGAGTGTGGTTGGCCCAAACTAGACAGCTACTTGGGGGAAAAATGAGATTTGTATTTCATATTGTGTACCAGGGTAAATAAAATAGGGATTTACACATAGGAAATGAAAACGCAGTAGCTCAGTATCAGAGCACTTGAATAACACATGCAACTCCAAGGTCTGATCCTCTGGACAACAGCAACAGCGGCGATGAGGAGGAAGGGAAGGAGGAACAGAAGAAAACACATGAGGTTTAGAGAAGTGAGTTTTAAAAAAAACTTGGGAGGCTGGGGATTTAGCTCAGCGGCATAAGCACCTGTCTTGAAAGCAGGCAGTCGTGAGTTCGATCCCTGGTACCGGTAAAAAACGAAAAAGCCAAAAAAAAAAAAAAACTTGGAATGGGAAAAGCTATACCAAAACCACAAACAACACACACTATAGGTAAAGACAACAGACAAAATGGAAAACAAAAATTTTTTGTGCCTTATGTCACAAAGGATCCAAATACTTAATACCAAAAAAAAAAAAAAAAAGCAATTAAGAAAAAGACCATAAATCTAGTGGGAAATGGGCAAAATACAAACAGACAGTTAAAGAGGGAGTGAAAACAGTGAGAAAGAAAGAAAGGAGAGAGAGAGGGAGAAAGAAAGAGAAAGAAACAATTTAACATGACTGCCTGGCTGTTCTCTTTGGCACGAATGCTTACAAAGCTGGCTTAGTGTCTGGGAACCTGAATTTTTGGAGGGTTCTCACAATTCACGATAATAGTGTCTCACTTTGCTTTATATATACAAACAATACGGTTTATGCTGAATACCTGCTTCCCTTTGGGGAGATGCTGTACATGCCAGGAAGCTGTCTACAAGACCAGCTCCCATTTAAACTCTAGGTACTGAGTCTCTAATGGGCATTTTTGGTTGACAGCATGTACTAATCCTATTTATAGAGACATATTCCAGAGAAATACCAGAAGAACTATAACATAACATGCGCCCAAGGTGCATTGTTTTAATAGCTAAAGTCTGAAAATAGACCACAAGTCCATCAGTAGGGAACTTACTGAGCTGATTATGCTACAACAACACAACAGAATATTATCAACTGAAAAAGATTTTTGTCTTCAACATAAAGTTATTTCAAGACAGATTATTAAATGTGTGTAGAAGGGAAAGCCACCAATCACGAGAATTTATAAGTTGTGCTACTTTGTGTAATAAAGGGAGGGAAATGTGTGTGTGTGTGTTCACTAATATTTAGAAAAGGAAGCACTGAAGATTAAACAAAAATGGCTGCCCACTAAGGATCGGATAAACAGGTAAAGTTCAACAAAATTTAACTGTACGTAGTATGGATCTTGTCTACAGCTAGTTTCAAACAAATCCACTGCCAAAAGTCACTTGCAAAACAACAGCAAAATCTGAAAGTGCATTGAGTATTCCACAACACTGAATGATTATTAATTTCCAGGTGTAATAATAGCACTGTGGTTACTGAAAAACAATGGATGTATTCTAGAGATGCACAATGAGGTATGGAAGGAGGAAACACATTAAGGTATGGACTTTGCTTTAAAATGCCCTAACAAAAGGAATACACGAAACAACAGTAGATGTGGGTGATGGAAATATAAACATCTGTTAGAATATTTTCTCCAAGTTGGTGCATTTTCTGAAATTTTTCATAATAAAACATTAAAACAAATTATAGAATAAGACATAAAATGTTCTATTCATCTAACAAGTTATCAGACATATGTAGAGTAGTAATACCAAAATTTATAAGGAAAAATCACTTTAAATTTATCTTGATTAATTATAAGAACAAAGATAAAAAGCCAGATTCAATCTGGGACTCAACAGTCTTTTAAAAATTTTAAGTAAGGGCTGGGGATTTAGCTCAGCAGAGTAAGTGCCTGCCTGGCAAGTGCAAGGTCATGAGTTCAATCCCTGGTATTGGGGAAAAAAAAAAAGCAAGTACATGACATACTCTAAAAATATGAACTCAACAAAAGCTAGTTAGAGAAGGATTGAAATAAAATCTCAAGGCCACAGTGACTGACATTAAATATGAAGCAACAGAAAATTTCAATAGCCTTTCAGAACTCTTTACCTGACTAGAAATAAATCGAAATGATTACATTTCATAAGATAGGGTGACATTTTGGAAATATCTCATTTTGAAGAAAAATCCTAAAAATAAGGAGTATTTCAGTTGTTTTTGTGGAAACATAAAAAAATGATCAAAACAAGGATAACTAAAAAGATATTAAATGATGTTGAAGAGACTGGATATGGAATCTACTTTTATAAAGTGCAGCAAGTGAAATAGGGAAGGAAAACATTCACTTCTATGTTCTACTCTCTACCTGCCATGGAACCTTTGGGAAATACCAGTCTAGTTGTGCCAGGTTTGCCTTGTGGCATCAAGCCGAGTCTTTCACTCTTGCTGAGTCTTTCTGAACCTCAAGGAGTCCTGGATGCTATATAGTGAATTGAAAATTAGGCTATTTTATTTCTACTGCATCTTACTCTTTTGATAGTAAATGAAGCAATGTGTGTAAAAGTATTTCATGAATTCCGAGGGACTTCAGATATGAGACATTTTCTTCCTTTTCTTCTCCTTTTATTATTGTGATTGTTATGGGTCATGTAATACTTGAGGCTTAAGCTCTGCAGCCAAATAATCAAATAATTTGAGGGTATTCAGAAGTTGACAATTTTAATTGTGAACTCGTTGATCTGTTTTTTTTCTTTTATATCTGTTTGAATCTCAGTTACTTTCACTGCACATTTACTTCTGCACTAACAGGCTAAAAGAAGAGAAAAAAGACTGAATTCAGTGTGATTTACTCTTTCACCTCGATGAATGAGTGACTTGGAGATGGAACAGAATTAGTTTACTGTGGAAGACTCTTACACTGCTAGTGTAGGGTAAATAGAGGTAATGATATAATTCTGAACATTTTCGGTTGTGTCATCGTACTTTTCTCCTCCTTTCATCAATTAAAATACTCTGAAAGAGTACAGGGTGGTAGGAAGAAGGGAAAAGGTATACATTTTGGGGGGCTCCTGCAGATGAAAACATTTAAAAGTTAGATCTACAAGTGAACCCTAATACTTTAATGGTTTTCCTATTAGCCATTTAGAAGCAGACTCCCAGAAAAAACCCTTGGAAAATGCACATGGTTCTTGGCTGAGATGCTCTGCTGAAAGCACAGGGGTGTCCACACCATTAGGGTTTAGCAGTAGAAAAACACCCGGAACAAGCACTGGCATGGTGGTGTCAAAACTGGAGTCAGCAAGGCAGAGTTGGTAGGGTCAGCAAAATCTTTGGCCTGTTTCCAGGGGTGCCATTCCTTCTGCCTCCACAGCAAGGGGGACGGGTGGATACTTAGCCTGGGAACAGAAGCCTGGAGGCACACACATACAGAGACTTCTTACAGCAATAATATTATTTTCTGCTTGGGAAATCACATAGCATGGCCAAAAGAAATAGTCACAAAATGAGAATGACTTTTGGAACCGATGCCTATAATCTTACACTAAAGACCACGACAGTCGAAGACAACTTTAACCCTGTGTCTTTAGTTTTGCTTCATCATTTTCAGACTAAAAAGTTAACTTCTTGAGAGCAAGAATACTATTTATTTTTCCTGTACTCCCTAACTTGGCAAAGTGCTTCAGAAGATAAAGAGAAGTTTGCTGGTACACAGAAGCTGGTGTAAGAGCAAATCATTCTGGTACCATGAGCCTGTTCTCCAAGAGGCAGTGCAGCACGGTGGGGAGAAGTGTCCAAGGCAGAAGACTTGGGTTCTGGTGCGGATTTTCCTGTCTATCTGGGTGACCTCAGAGAAGATAAAGGACTACTTCTGGGCTTCAGCTGTTTCAACTGAAAAAAAGAGACTGAATTTTTGAAACAAAAATTTAAGTGACAAGGATTGTATATAACATGATTACTTATAGCAACCGCTTGTGTGGGGGTGGGGGTAAGGAAGGCTGACAATTTATGCCCTTTTCAATCCTTAAGTTGAAACCCGATTCCCAAAGGGATGTGTTACGAGGCAGGGACTTTGGGAAGTCATGAGGATAAGATTTAGTGCCCTTGTGAGACACCTCACAGACCCCCTTTTCCCCTTATACTACTATGTGAGGACACAGTGAGATGACGTTCATCCTCAAATAGGAAGCAGGCTCTCACCAGATGCAGCATCTTTTGGGGCCTTGATCTGAGAATTCCCAGCCTCCAGAACTGTAAGAAATAAATTTCTGTTGTATATAAGCCACTGAGTCTATGGTAATTCATTAATGCAACTTGAATAGATGAAGACAGAGGGAAGGACTAAGGGCTCTTCTAGCTCTAACATTATAAGAAATCATTAATCTGTTGGCAAGAGAATTTCTGTTTTCAATTCAAGAAGTATGCTCATATGAACTGGCTTTCAGAAAGTGAAGAGTGGAGTTTACGCTGCTTCCCATTCCTTGTCATCCTTGCCTCTGACCATACAACTTTCCAAATGGTCAGTATTACTTTCTTTATTTTATCCTTCCAGTGAGAAAAGCAAGAGCAACATTAGCCTATACACATACACACAAATATTCGTACTGTCACACATTTGCAAATAAACTGCAATATACTGTAAAAAATTTTTGACTATCTAGGCACTTTATAAATAGAGATGCAAAGTAACATCAGGACTTACTACTTTTTCCTGTATTTGCTGTCAAGGGATCTGTGTCTACCTACTTTCTCAAGTATCAAAAAGTGCAGACTGTACTTTTTAAAACTAAGAATGCCAGCATCCTTTACTCCTTGCAACAGGACCATCAAAACATGTGCTATATACAAGATGACACTGTGCTTGTGGGAGCCCAGCTGGGCAGAAGTGAGGATCACCCAGTATTTAGTAGGGGCTCACCTTAAGCACAAGGATCATAAAACTATCACTTTACCTATCCTGGAAAAGTCTCATGCCTGAAACAAAGCTTAAACATTACCAGACAGATACCAACTAACCCACTTTGGTCCTGGCATAGTAACCTCTCAATAGTTTTTTAAAAAGTGAACAGTAGGGGCTGGGGATTTAGCTCAGCGGCATAAGCGCCTGCCTTGTAAGCAGGCAGTCATGAGTTCGATCCCTGGTACTGATAAAAAGGAAAAAGACAAAAAAAAAAAAACAAAAAAAAACGTGAACAGTAATCTGTTGGTTCTTTTCCCAGGTATCAACAGATATTTAAACTTACCATCTATTTATAAACTACATGTGTACAAAAATCAAAGGTTGTGTTTCGGTGATGGTACTATAATTCTTCTTGACAACTGAGGCTCACAAATCTGGGTTATGTTCTTGTCTAAAGATCAGCAGACGTACACCCTGCTCAGTCGGGTCTATTATTGAAGGTACAGTTACTTCTACTTCCATGGGGACCCTTGATGACTTGGGCATTAGAATATCCTATGAACATCCTAATCACACAGGGAAAGTCAGCATATATAATAAAAACATTTCACATTGCACATACCCCAAATTTTCATGAATTAAGGAATTCAACAGCTAAATTCCCACCACGGAGTTCTGTCCAGCAAAGGATACTGCAGGCCTGAGGCCACGGCACTGGTGCGATACCCTCCCAGACGCTGCCCACTCTCAGAGCAGTGCCAGGCAAACTGCTTGTCCTGTCCCGTGCTCAGCACCCACTCCAGCTCCAGAACAAACAGGATCATCGTCACTCTGCTTTGATGCGCTGAAAACCAAGAAGCAGAAAGACATCTATGAAGTGAGCATCCTCAGAGGTTGGACAGTATAACCTAAACCAATGTGTGCCCTTCTTTTTCTGCTCCAGGAAGGATGACAGTGTAGGCTGTTAGGGACAGGACAAAACTCTCATCATGGGTGGGCATTTACTCATGCAGACAGTTGTACTGGAGTTTTTTATATGCATTTTTTAAAAAAGAACTATCTCTTCCCAATGCTTCCTACTTGTGCCAATCCAAGAATCACTGCTTGAGAGAACACCTACTCAAGGGCCTGGGTGACCTCCCTCAACATGCCAGGGCACTAGAGTACCAGATCCAGTGTGACCCCAAAACACATTAGGAATGACATTTGTAATACAGTCACTATGGTCAGTTTTTTACATATTTTCAAAAAAGGTAAAGAGCATATTGTTCTTTTAGTGGCTGCATTATAAACTGTTAACAAAATTCTAGATGCACAGCTGTTACAAATCAAATGCTTAGAAAGAGGATGGAATGATGAAAAGAGAATAAAATATCCCTTATGTCAAGGTACACAGTACATAAGGTATATGTGGGTTTCACTATTTATATAATGAAAGTATATTTCTCAAGAGTTGTTCATAAACAAGAGTTCTTGCATCATACAATTTCAGAGTTTAAGAATGTATGCCCTCTAGCTTATCTTGCTATTTTTGTGCACAATGAAGGTAAGTAATTTGGCTATGGTACCACATTTCTACCAAATGAAACCAGGTAAGAGGGTATTTACTTTCTTCTTCCTATATAATTCTAGGCAGTAAAATTATGGGGATCTGTGGTCACTGAACAGAGCTGAGTGGAATGAGCACAGATGGACATCCTTCCATGCGGGCAAGGTGGGACAGAGGCACACTCATGAGTATGGAAACATGGCAGAGAAGACATTTTAATCAGCAGGGTTTCCTATTTTGATCATCAAGTAGAGTTGGCACAGAGTAGTGGTGGTGAACTGATGGCACATGTGCTGCAGCCAGCTGCTTATTATTGCTGAAAACTCTAGAAGGTTCAGCTTCTAGAGGGATAAATGGAGCTACACTGACAATAATACCATCTGCTAATTTCTGAGTGTCTAGCAAGCACCAGGTACTTAAATGTACCCTCTCTCTCAACAGTAATGACCCTGAAAAGTGGGTGATGTGTGATTTTACAGGAAATCTGAGTTTTGCAAGCTGGCTTTTTATACCAGCTGCCATACAACATAGTCAGGACCATAGTGAATACCTACAGGACAAGACATTCCAACAAGTGCCTCACATTTCAAAATCTAGTATTTAAGGCACCGTGAGTATGAGGAATAAAGTGCAGTAACATTATGACTGCCCCACGACATGCCTTCCAATGTACTGGCCACCATCATGATCAAAATGTAGTTGTTAAAAGATGTGACATTTTGGACAGACTTCTTAAGATCTTTTCACGTATGTCATACATGTTCAAGTGCCATCGGCAATGTAACAAAAGTGAAGTCTCTAAGAGTCCAAGTACATCCAAGTCTAATTCAAGTAGAATTGGCACCTAGCATCTCACTCTTTCTCCTAACAAGACCTTTGGCCTTTATCTGTCACTTTCTAGGTCCAAGGGATGACAGCAACCCTGGAAGATAAAAAGGTTAGCACTCAGAGTGGCACTTATGTCGCAGAGGAGATAGTAGCTAGAAATGTTAAGGGGCTTGCTTGGAGTTACGCCCTCTGTTGCAAACTTGGTTCTCTTTTTCACTATCAGGTTGTCCGTGACTGCTAGAGGTTGGAGAACCAGATTCAAATACCCAAAGCACAACTCTTTCTAAAGTGATAGAACTCTTTTATTTAAAAAGAAAACTTTCAGAAACAATGCTTATCACTAGGCTTCAGAAATTCGTAAAACATGGGCTTGACATCGGGTCTCCTGAATGTGAGCGGGGAGAGGGAAAACATGGCCTTCCTTGACTCTGATCTTAGGTGCAAAGCATTTTTTTGCCTTGCCATGAGCTCTTGCATTAGATACAGAATTTTTTTTGAGACAGGGTCATGCTTTGTAGTTCAGGCTGCCCTTGAACTTATGGTTACACTCTTGCCTTAGCCTCTTGAGTGCTGAGATTACTCAGCTTAACTGCAGCATTTTGTAGCTAATTTTTAAAAACTAAGAAGTTTCTCTCGGTTCCTTGTTTGCTGAGTTTTTATTATACATTGGAATTTTATCAAATGCTTTTCCTCCGTCCCATGAGCTTTCTTCCTAGGTTCTGTGATAGTTAACTGACTGGGTCAACCTGAGTGAGAAATGCTCAACTACATCCTCTCAGCACAGTTCTGGGTCTGGCAGACCCACCCCGGGGAGGATTCTCTCCAGAATGGTGTACAATGAAAATGAGAGAAAAAAGAACGTTCTCAGTTTGCAGAGCAGACTCTTCAGTCTTCCACTATAGATCTTTCAGACTCTCAATTGGGACTCACAAGGGACACCACCTCTGCCTGGATCCCTTGGGTTTCCAGCAGACCGACCTCTTGCACTCTTCCACTCTGTGGGCAGCCATTAAAATTCTTATACAATTGTAAATCTTGCATTAAATCTGTCTCTAGTAAGCATGAACTGTCTAGTAAGCATGAGCCTGTTGATTTTGAATGTTGATACATGCATGTATATAACTGGAATTAATCTCATTTGGTCATGCTGTGTAATTCTTTTTGCACAATGTTAGATTTGGTTTCCTAGTGGGTTTTTTTGAGGATTCTGTATCCATTTTTATTTGAGATTGGCCTGTAATTTTCTTTTCTTGTAACATTTTTAATTTTGGCATCACTCACTTCTTTTTCTGAGATAAAATTCACATAACACAAAATTCACCACTTTAATAATTTTACAGTTTGTAATTCAGTGGCTTGAAGTATTTACAAATTTTGCAGCCATCATTACCATTGATTTCCAGAACATTTCCATCACCTCAAAATGACAGCCTATGATCGCAATTCTCCCTTCTCCATCCTTCATCATCATCCAAGGACTCTCCTATTTTCGACATTTCACATAAATGCAATTGTGATATGTGCACTCTTTTGTCTGATTTTTTTCTCTTCAGCATGTTTTCAAGATTAACCCATGCTGAAGCCTTTTTTAAGGGCAAATACTTAAATATATTCTTGCTATTCTAAATAACGTTACTAAGAATGTGGAAAAGCTTTTGTGTAAGTACATATTTTTCCTCAGGTGTATTATCAGGTGTAGAACATTATATTATAAATGAAGTACATTTAACTCTGAGGAACTGACAAACTTTTTCAAAGTGACCATCATTTTACTTTCTCATTATCAGTGTATGAAAGTTCCAGTTTCCTGTTTATTGTCAACACTGGTTTATTTTTTAAGTGATAAACGGTTCCTGAACCATTTAGAATGGAATGAGGGAATTAATATTATTGGAAGAGTGAATATTTATTGAACCCTTTGACTATGTTTCAGGTACTGCACGAAGCAAAATTTACATACGCAATCTGTTAAAAATATTTTAGTGTGATAAAATATACGTAAGATTTACATTTTAACTATTTTAAAGTATAAAGTACTGTATTACGGCATTAAGGATACTCATACTGTTGGGCAACAACCACCACCACTAGCCTCTAGAATTTTTACAACTTCCCAAACACATATTTTGAACCCATTAAATGCTAGTTCCTAATTTCCCTTTTTCTCTAGCCCTTGGCAGCCACCATTCTATCTTGGTTTCTATGAACTTGACTATACCTTACTTACATGTCATCCTGGTTCAGAACTTACTCTTCTGTGATTAGCTACTCTGTGATTAGCACACAATCTGCAAGTTTATCCACATTGTAGAATGTGTTGGAATTTCCTTCTTCTTTAAAGCTGAATAATATTCCGTGGTATGCATATACTTCACTTTATCATCTGTCAAAGGACATTTAATTGTTTCCATCTTGTGGATATTATGAATAATGCTGCTCTAAATATTCATATACAAATATTCCTTGAGGATATTTTCATTTATCTTGAGAATGCACCATTAATTAATTTTTGAATGCTAATTCAACAATGCACTTCTGTGGTGAAACTCGTTTAATCATAATGTATTATCAATTTGCATATATTGCTGGATTTGATTTACTGAAATTCTGTTTGGATTTTCACATTTATTTTCACGAGGAATGGCAGCATATACTTTTTTGTATTATTTCTATATAATACTAGTACATATCAAGAAATGCTGATTTCAAAAAATGGGTTGGAAAGTCCTTTATTCAATTTCTAAAAGAACTTTTCAGAGTTGATATTGTTTCTTCTTGAATGTTCCAAACATTCACCAGAAAGCTTTCTGGGTCTGAAGCTTTCTTTGTGAGGTTTCAACGTCTTTAAATACACAGATCTATCAAGATTATCTATTTCTTCCTGAGTGACTTGTTAGAGCTTATGTCTTTGAAAGAGTTGATCATTTCATCATATTTACATCTAGTGTTAACAGTGATGTCAATTGGCTTATTCCTGACTTTAGTAACGTGCATCTTTTTTCCATGTAAGTCTGGCTAAAAGTTTATCATTACTTTTATTAATTTTCTAAAAAAATTAAAATGAAATTTTGGTCTCATTTAGTTTTCTATACTTTCTGCCTTCTATTTCATAAACTACTGCTATAATCTTTACTTTTTTCTTAGATTAGGTTTCATTTATTTGCCTTCTCTAGTTTTTTAAGGTAGAAATTGAGATCACTAATGTATCTTTAGATCTTCCTTTCTCATAGCAGTATTGAGGGGGTCTTAACCATTGTGAAACCTTCTTTATCCTTGGTAATACTCCTTGCTTTTAAATCTACTTTGATGTTAATAAAACTACTCAAGCTTTATTTTGACTAGTGTTTTCATGACATATCTCCTACCATTTTTTTACTTCTAACTGACCATATTCAAGTCTTTAAAATAAGCTTCTTGTGGGCAAGGTATATTTAGGTCTTGATTTTTTTCCCCTCAGTCCAGTAGTCTCTGTCTTTTATTTGACTTTAGACCATTTATATTTAATGTGTTATTGATACAAGTTTAAATCTATCATCTTGCTATTTGTTTTCTAGTTTGCATCTATTTTTTCCTCTCTTTTGTTTTTTTAATGATGTGAATTATTTTATGATTTTTACTTTAGCTTCTCAGTTGCCTTATTGACTGTAACATTTTGATGTTTTCTTTAATAGCTGTTTTAAGGTTAACAGTGTATGTCTTTATCTCCTTAAGCAATATAACACTTCACATATAGCATAAGAACCTTACATTTTCCTTACCTTTTTCTTTTGTGCTAATGTTATAATAAGAAAAAAAAAAACCCTTACAATCACTATTTTTGGTATAGTTCATTCTCTTGAAAGATGCATATTTTCCTTTCACATCACTTTCTTCCTGAAGGACTTCCTTTAACATTTCTATTAGTGCAGGTGTATAGATGAGGAATTCTTTCAGGTATTTTAAAAAAAAAAATATTTCCAAGAGCTTTTATTTTACTTTCACATTTTGAAGATAAATTTCTCTGGATAAAGAATTCTGTGTTGGCAGCTTTTTTTTTTCCTCTCTCTCTCAATATTTTAAAGATGTTCCACTGACATAAAATCCATCTACAACTGCAGTAATTAACTGTGGCTAGCCTACTTAATCGACCCACTGATTTTTTATGTTGTTACGGTTTAGAGGAAGAATATCTCCCACCAAGAGACAGAGGGAGGAGGAAGGGAAATGAGGGGAAAGTGATATAAAAAGAATTCAGATGTGTTATGTATATGTACTAGTTTCCCAGGATAAATGTAATCATTATGCACTGCAAACACGTACCATTTAAAAAAAAAAAAAATGTTCCCCAAGCGTCTCATGTGCTTATAGGTGGGGTTCTGGAAGCTGAATCATGGCAGCAGTATAGCCGATTTGTTAGGAGGCAGGTCACTGGAAATGGCCTGGAAAGGTGTGTCTTCCTTTACGGCTGTTTTTCTATTGCTTTCTGGCTGCCATGATTTTAACAGATTTCTTTTTACTCTGCCCTTCTGCCATGCTACTCTGCTGTGGAGCTGGCCAAACATGGATTGCAAATATGACACAAACTTCTCATCTTTTAATTTGTAGAGATCAGATCTCAGTGAAGATAAAATGATAAGACAGATTTCAATGACATTTTTCATATATAAAAGTTCCATTTGATTTGTTAAAAATCTGATTACGTTGCAAGTTTTTTCTGTCTGCTATACTGTCTTTGATTTCTTTAATCACTTAGAACATAATGTTGTACTTTCTTTCAGATTATTGAAGATTCTTGCCATTCTAATCTTCCTGTTTGTGGTATCTCCTAATATACTGTGGTGGCTTAATATTCCCACTTCTGCATTTTAAAAAGTTATCAATTCCTCTTATGTTGTCCTTTTTATTTGTTTTTTTCTGGTATGGGGGACTGAACGCAGGCCTCTGGACTTCCTAGATAAAGGTTCTGTCAGTGAGCTTTAGGCCCAGCTTTATAGTCTTTGATTTTGTAAAGGCCTTTGTGTAATCTGTCTTACTAAGGGCAGATTCTGCATTTATTTCTAGGAAGTAACCCTGGGGTATCACTGACCAAAAATTAATTTGATGTTATTTTTTAAACACAGAGCTTCTAATACTATATAATTTGCTTAAATTTGTATTAAAAAAGTTTTCATTTGGGCTATAGATCCTTTATGACTTTTTCCTTTTACTCAGAGTTGGGGTCAAGCATCAACGTCCCTACTGTGTTTCTGGGCTAATGAGTGGAAAGTTCTGGCCTCTCTTCTGGGGATACAGTTCTTTGCAGGCTTTTTATGGAAATCTCACTTCTCATCTTCCATCTCACTCAAGCCGCAGGCCTCATCTCTAGTCCTCAAGTACATATTCTTACACCAGCAACCAGCTCTCTCCCAAGACAGTTGCAGTGTCAGTTCACATGTGCATCACTTTGAGATTTAATTCTCTTTTAATTCTCTTTACTCTGGTACATAGGAAGTTTCCTTTTGTTTCTCCCTTGAGCTTAGCATTGTAAACACAACAACAATAACAACAAAAAACAGATATGACAAAAAGCCTGCCATTTTATGATTATCTCTTGGTGCTTGTGAAGAGTTTTCACAATAGTCTAGTTACCAAATTTTGTAAACCTCATGTAGATAAAAACAGAAATATAGGAGGTACATTTAAAAATCCCCAAATTAATGGCATATGAAGAGTGGTTTCTAATGATACACACATCATATGTGTATTTGTGAAACTGATCATTACTTTTAACAAATGCGTAGGGAACAGCATATTTTATGTTGTATCCACTTAAGGAAAACACAAAATGAAGTAAGAATGAATATATTTAATAACTATTGGCAATACAAAATATCCTGACAGGCTAAAGACAATGAGATGGTTAATAATGACTGCAGAGTCCAGCACTTACACTGAAAGTAAAAATATACTTTCCAAAGTACAGGATGACAGGTGTGGTGGCACACATCTGTAATTCCTCAGGAGGCTGAGGAAGGAGGGTCACTGGGAGTTCAAGGCCAGCCTGGGTTACAGAGTGAGTTCAAGGTCAGCCTGAACTGCACAGTGAAACCCTGACTCAAAAAGACACACACACACACACACACACACACACACACACACACACACACACACACAAAGTATAGGATACAGTTTAAAAACAACTCAAGTGAGAACTGTTGAGGAGTCGATTATTCCACATGAATCCATGGTACAAAGTAGCTGCCAGAAAGTTCACCCTCTGTGTTATAAAAACAGTGCCCAGAAGAGGAAAGGATAGGAATTCTGTGCTTATCTGACTACATATATGTATTATTATCTACTGCTGAGTAACAAGTCACTTAGTAGCCAAAACTTAAAAAACTTAGTGGGCAAACAAAACATGTCAGTTTCTATGGGTCAGAAATCTGAGTGCTGCAAGGCTGGGCGCCTCTACATAAGTCTATCACAAGATGAATCTGAGGTGTGGGGAGGAACTGTGGTCTCATTTGAAAGCTTAGCAGAAGGAAGGTCGGTTCCCAAGCTTTCTTACACAGCTGATGACTAGGTCAGGTATTCAGCGGTCGCTGGACTGCAGGCACTAGTTCTCAAAGGCTGATGACCCCTTCCTCAGGTCCTCAGAATAGGGACTTCTCTAGCAGGAGGATGCCCCAGTCCTCTGAAACCTAATCCCGAGTTACCACTATTACTTGTCTAATTGTAGGCCCAGTGTACACTCAAGGCGGGGAGAAGTGTGGACATCGGGCAGTGATGATCATTAGGAGCCATCTGCCATACCATGTCATATTTTCAAGTAGTCAGAAAGGTACAATATGATACTCCAAATTTATGACCAAGGCAGTTAAAATATTTAAGGAACTAAAGCTCAGGTCATGAAAAGCAAGAGTCCATATATAAAATGTTTAGACTGAAAAAGGTAAAGGAAAAAAGAAGACTAAAAAAGGAGAAGTAAGAACAGGAATGAGAACTTTCATGGCTGTTTTACACTAATTGAAAGCCTGTCACCTGAACAAAAACTGTACTTAGTTTTTGCATATTTAACAGGTTGAGCAAAGAACAACAGGAGAACATTCTACTATTTATGATATAGCAGTTTAATGAACTGTCTACCTGTCTGTATCCTCCACATAATTATAAACTGCATTCATGTTTTCTTCACTATTATAATCTCAAGTTACTGCAACACACTGGGTACTCAATAAATATTTGATGAGTGATATGTGAAAAAATTTTTAAAAATCAGAGGGAATAAATTTGAGTTCTAAACTTTTTAAAATAAAAACCTCATTCTTAAAGTCTTCCAAAATCAGAATGACTTCTTGTATTTCCGGAGGAATTAAAGGAGATGCTGAATGCTCACACAGGATGAATGTAAGCAACAGATCTGGATGAAATGACATCTGGGTCGCCTTCTCCTTTCCTGATGGCATTGGAGACTACCATTTAGCCACAACACAAGCCCTTTTTTAAATCTTATTTTAAGAAACAGTCCCACTAAGTGGACAAGAGTGGCCTCAAAATTGCAATCCTCCAATCTTAGCCTTCCAAATAGCTAGAATTGGAGGTGTGTGGCACCTCATCAGGTTGACTTCTGGGTCTTAAAAGTCTATTGTTCTGATTTCTAGATAATGAAAAACCCTCCAGACGCTGCTCCTGAATTACCCTATGAACATGGGTAACGTGAACATTGAAGACACAATAAAAACTGTAATTCTTTTCCCTCAACAATTTGCATACTCTTGAGTACTTAGCAAAATATGAAATGAGCCCCATGCAAAGCAGCACTCGGTGGGCTGACTTCTTGAGTCTGCTGTGTCGCCAACCACCAGGAGTGTGGGGTCAAAAGACAAAGGTCACGGCCTGGGAGTCACATTAACATTTTATCTCTGCACTGTATACAACAAGCAAAGGACCACAGGGAAATCAAATTCCTCAGGCCTCGACAACTTTTGCCTCTACCTCCCAAGTGCTGCTTTTACAGGTATGCACCACTACAAGTGGCCTATCAAAAAGTATTTTAAAGTCTGAGTAAAAAAAATCCTCCTCTCACTCCTTACCTTGATAGTTTTTCACAGGAGTCATCTTGTTATAGTCTTCAGATAAAATGAACTCCTGCAAAAGAAGAAACACATTAAGCAAAAGGAAATTCTTTAAGTGAACAACTGCTTTGGTAAAAAAAAAAAAAAAGACTGAATAAAGCCAGTGTCATCACAGAATTATATTTTGCTAATCAACTTAGGATTTGTGTGCCTCTCTACAGTGAACCACCATTACAATGCAATTCAAGCATTGTCATTTTTTTTTTACCTTATGATTGAATCTGATTTTTCGATATGCATGAGAAGAAAACTGCATCAAGTACAGAGTCTTGATACTGGTCAGTTTTGCAGGTAAGTCAAATTCAAAATATTTTTTTCTCTTAATAGTGCCAGAGCTGAAGATTTATAAAACTCTGGTCAGTGAGAAAATAGGCAGCAACTCTTTATTAGAGGCATAAATTACACATTTTAAGGCAGTGATATTGAACTTTTGAGAGCTTTCTATGATAATGTCATAGGTTCACCACCACCTCCACATCAGTGATTTATTTCCCCTTACTACCAACTTCCTGGGGCTGCATCTTGCTCATTCTCTGTGTCTCTAGAGTGTACTATACAGTGTCTCGGCATAGCAAGTAATGAATAAATATCGATCAGTTATGTGGAAAGCACCTCCCAGTACAAGATCAGTCTGGATGTCAAATATACAGAAAAAGTCGGTTCTACGCAGCACATTGTACATATATTTTGTCAGGCAAGCATCCATGTAGACCGTGGCTCACAGGTAGAAACCAAGCAAGTATTTAGGAGGCTGTTCAAGTCCCTTAGATTCCTTCAAATGTAAAATATCCATATACCCTTTGAAAATAAGTTGTTGAACAGAAGGAAAGTTGCAAAATGTAATAAAGTGATGTTTTCATATGAATTTAAAAACAGAACAATGAATCTTTTCACAACACCTGGAAGCATCCAGAATTTTTCTTTGATGACTTACCAAAAAAAAAAAAAAAAAAAAAAAAACCAGGATGAGAGGACAAACATGTTAACACCTTTCTTCCTGTCTGGTTTTAGAAAATAATTATTGCATTGTTTTTGTGGTATATGTCACAAAGATAAAGTAGGAGGTGTGAGAGAATGTACCCGGCAAGCACATTCCGTGGTTCATTGCTTTTCTGTCCTAGCCCTATTAAGAAGCTTATCTACAAATGGATTTTCTTCACAATGACTTTTTCAGTAATAACATTATTCAACTTGTCACTTTTTAAATTCACATCATTATTCCTTCAAGAAGAGGCACCGTATCTATTGCTCTTTTATGAAGATTTAGGCTCCTGATGGAACAGAGCAGATGAAGTTTGAAGGAAATAAGGCAGCATGGCCAGGAGGGGCTAACTGACAGCATGGGAAGGAGGCCCTCACGCAGGCCTGAGCTGCAATCGGCCTCCAAATGCCATCCAGGAGAGAAGATGGGGCTCTGGGCCCACGCTTCACAGGGCCCTAATATGCACCTGTACACCACCCACGCACGCACACACACAATTTATTAAGGACAATTATTGTTTGGTCAAGTGTTTATGGGGTTCTTAAGTTTCATATGATTTTAAATATATTTAAATGGTTTTTGAACTTGGGCAAAAGACCATTCAATTTCTTTTTTAAAAAGACAAGGAAGGTATAAAATAACTCAATGCAAGTTTGCACATAGGATACAACATACACATACTAATTTAAAAATCAGCAGTTTACTTCACTGATAAACCTAATGCTTTTGTTAATTTGTTTTCTCTGTAATTATAAAAATACATCATGGAGAAAATTTGGGAAATTTTGTCATTTTTCTACTATAGAAAGCATGTGTTATTCTCAGAAACATGTGAGGGATAAACATTTAAAGGTTTCTTGTGATATCGTTTCTTAGAGGTATTATAGAAAGTATTCTTATAATAATATCTATAATAAAACAATGTAAAACATTTTTACAATGTCTTTTTAAAAAAATAAATCATTGTTATTCCAAGAGTACTTACTTTTATTAAGCCTCATTCTCCTTCTAAACAATAAATGATAATTTTATATTACTGATATTCACAGTTTTCAGTTTTTCTTATTAAAGATATCTCTAACAGTAGCTTTATAAAAGTTCTAGAACTATTCCTTTTTTTTTTTTTTTTGGTACTGGGGATCAAACTCATGACCTTGTGCCTGCCAGGCAGGCACTTATGCCACTGAGTTAAATCCCCAGCATAGTTCTAGAAGAGTAGGTAGTCTAGTAAGAGGTAGACTACTCAAAATGTGATCCATATTGCTAAATTTGAGCATCTAATAATACTCAGAAACATTATAATATAAAACTCTGGCTATGGCTTAAATTATTTCCATAAGGTTGGCCAAGAAATTAAATCAAATATGCACACACTTAAAATTATTTGGGATATAATAATTTCTACACTTCTTTATTTTTTCTATCTTTCTTTGCATCCAGCTATTTATTCCTCTAATCATCTAATTAACTTTATTTTGGGGGGTACCAAGATTGAACTCAAGACCTCACACTTGCCAGACAGGTACTTATGTCACTGAGCTTATCCCTTGTCTAATTAATTTTAACAATCACTGTAACACATCAAACAATACAGGATATACAAAGAAAAAGCTAATAACTGTCCCTATCTTTAATCTCACCCCTTTGAGGCAAACAGTGTTAACAGTCTGGCTTATTATGATTTTTTTTTTTTTTTTGTCTTTTTTCTTTTTACAGGTACCGGGGATGGAACTCACGACTGTCTGCTTGCAAAGCAGGCGCTTATGCCACTGAGCTAAATCCCCAGCCCCTGGTTTTTATTTTTTAATCTTTATATAAACATATATCAACATAAACATACATATAGAGGTTTTGTTGTATAAAAACAGGATCTCCTCTGTAACTTGTTGTATTTATCCTACAATATATCACAGCTCTTCCCAGAAGTCACATGGTGCTAATTTTGTTTCTAAAGGTTTTATAATACTCCATAAAATGGATATGCCATTTATTAAAGCACTTCCCTTTTAAGTGAACATACCAGTTATATAACCTTTTACTATTACAACTCTACTGCAAGAAAGGTCTGTAATTATATCTACATGAACTAATGCTGGGGTATAAAGATTGCTGGCACAAATTATGTACAACCAATGTTTTACTAAACACTACTGATTACTCTTTAGGAAATATGTAACCACTCAAACCCTCTTTGTATGACAGCATATTTTCTCATATCCCACCAGTACTGGATGGTACTCATTGTTTGAATTTTTGCTAAATTGATGAACCACCACCAAAACCTGCCCCCCAAAAAAACAAAAAACCCCACCACTTTACTGTGGTTTAATGTGCATGTGTTTATCAGCAGGAGCACTTTTTATATTTTACTGGACAGTCCCATTTCTTGTTCTATAAAATTTCTGTAAATAATGCATGTTAATGTGGTTCTCTAAAAAAAATAGACTTGAGGAAAAACTGCAATCTAATGCTTTACTCGGAGGCTTACTATCTGCAATGTTAAGTGGGAGAAGAACAATGCAAAGCACAGCACAGAGAGATGAAGGTGGGTCACCACCAAGCCGGTGGAGTGTCCGAGGGAAGCCCAGCTGGTTCTCAGCATGCAGACATCTCTGGACAGACAGGACCTAAACACGAGGTTTAGGAGGAACGATGGAGAATGGGCTCTTACTCATTTGAATTTTGATTATAATTCCATGAAATAGCTTCCTTCTCCTCCTGGAAAGTATACAACCCCCACCTCACAGTGCAGTACATTTACAGTGCAGAAAGCAGCAGAGAAACCAGACTCTGGGCTCTGGTCTTAGGGTGGACCAGGAAACAAGTTAAGAATATCTGAGCAGTGGATGTGGTGTGGCCTACATGTTTGCTCTGCCTCTTTACCTACGAGCCTGCTTTCCAATGGGTGGCTTCGGGGAGCAGCATTCACCATGTTTTATATGACATGTTACAGAGACACTCAGAAAGAGAACTTCCAGAACTATGTCAGAAGACAGCAAGAATGAGAGGATAATTATGTTTTAAAATAAAGGGGTATATTTTGAGGATTAGTAGCAACATAACTTTTACTGTAATGATTTTTTAAAATTTAAACATTGCCCATATTACTTGACCATAGCACATTAATCAACTGTTTATGCCAATTCCTGTCAGGAACAATACAGTATGTCCTCAATGACTTTATGCACCAGATCTGAGACCATGTAACTTCTGGCTCTTTCCCAAAAACAAAATAACCACGCAAAGTTAAATGTTGAACTGATTCAGTACATTGAGACAGCCAGGACAGCACAACTGAAGACATTCATGAAAGAGGTCTTCTAGAACTGCTGAGAATGATGGGATAAGTGTTGGTGACGCGAGGGGGAGTACTCCGAGAAAACCAATGGTCATGTGTCTTTCACTAGAATGATTTTTAAAATTTAAACATTCACTATCTATTTTCATCACCCCTTGCACTTTGTGTATTATGTAAATTGACAATATTTTCTCTCCATATAGTCTGCCTTTGAATTTTATTTACTAGATTTCTGTTGCATTAAATTTTTATTTTTTCTGGTACTGGGGATTGAACCCAGGGCTTCAGAAATGCTATGCAGGCAAGCACTCTTCTGCTAAGCTAAATTTCTAGTCCCATTTTTTCATAACTAAATGATCATGGCATTCCAAAATGAAATTGTACTATATTTTACATTTTTTATTTGTGGAAAAATAGTACTTCAATTGGCGTATATCTCCTATGAGAAAGATCTTTACCTGTTTGGATGGGATATTTTTTCCCATTTTAACTTCTAATGAGTTACTGCTCATATATACTAAAAATAGCTTTTGGGTTGATATGTACATGTTTTGATTGAAGTAGTCTATAATAATATTTAATACTGCATGTGCTGTTGACTGACAAAAACTTTGATCAAGTTTAGATAATCTCTATTTTAGTGTCATATGCAGTTGTCATTATGAGTAAGAGCTCCATTTAATTAAATGTTCAGTTTTTTGTTTTGAGACATGGTCCTACCAAATTGCCCAAA